GAGGCCCCAAAACTGCCCCCATGAGGACCCCGAAAGCGCACCGAAGAGATCCCAAGAAAAATCCCTGAGCACAACCCAAGCACTGTGGCGGGATGGGCCGAAGGCAACTAGATCCGCCGCCCCCTGCTTGCAGGGGTGCACGGCGTGCTGGACGTTTCAGGTTTTGGTTTTGGTTCTTTTTCTAAAAGAACTCCCCAGTGGGCTTCGGCCCGTCCCGCCGGCCACCCGCAAATTGCCCAAAACCCATCTCTCAATGCCCAAAAACGGCCGTTTCGCTCGGGACATCCTCAAAAAATCGCGAAGATGGCCCAAGATGGCCTCCAAGTCCGCCCGAGATGGCCCAAGACGGCCTCCAAAACGGCCCAAGAGAGTCCAAGACGGCCCAAGACGGCCCAAGAGGCCCCCCCGAGGCCTCCCAGACGGCCCAAGAGGCCTCCAAGAGGTCCTCCAGGAGAGTCCGAAGAGGCCAAAATCATTGATTTTCCCTTGGTTTTTGAAGGATTTTGGCATTTGCGCCTTTTCGGCTCTCCGGAAGCCCCCAAGATCGCCCAAGAGGCCCCCAAGAGAGCCCCATGATGGCCCAAGTGGCCTCCAAGATGGCCCCTAGAGGGCCCCAAGAGGGCCCAAGAGGCCTCCAACACCCCCAAGATGGCCTCCCAGACGCCCAAGATGGCCTCCAAGACGGCCCTGGAGCATTCCAAGCGGGCCCCAAGTCGGCCCATAGAGGCCCCCCAAACAGCTTCCGACGGCTTCAGACGTGCCAGGAACCCACCAAGATGGCCGAAGTTGGCTCGAAGCTGGCCCGAGACGGCCCAAAAAGCCCCAAAGATCGCCCAAAGCTTGCCCAAGAGGCCTCCAAGACGGCCAAGATGACCTTAAGATGCCCACGTGTTCCCCGAAGGCTTTCCAAACCGATTCGGGGAACACGTGGTCCGATAGCTTGGCAGGTCTGGCCTCAACGTTCGGCCACATAGGCGCTTCCAAAAAGGCAGGGGGCGGCGGTGATTCGCCGTAGGCGTCTTCGATCCGCCGCCCCCTGTGGTCTTTGCCACACGGGTCGGGGGCGCGCAAACATGGATTAGCGATCCATTGATTTGGCGCGCGGACGCCAAATCCATGGATACGTGGAGGTGCCCTCCCCAAATTGCGGCCTGTGCCGCCTCGCTCGGCGGCGAAAATCCCCGATGTCCCATGGAAACTGGACCCGTCGCTAATTCACGCCCCCTTGATCCATGTTTACGATCGCCTGAGAGGGTAACCGGCGTGCTGAATTTCAAGTGGGTGTCGTTTGGTGTGTGTGGTTGTGTGTTTTCTTTTTTGTTCAATACATCTATATACATATATATATATATATATATATATATATATATATATATATATATCAGTGACAACAACAAATAGGCTTCGGTGGAATCTGCAACGCCCGTCGGCCTTTTCTCCCGCGCAGAGCGGTCCCCAGAGGACCTCCAAGACGGCCAAGATGGTCCAAGATGGCCAAAGATGGTCCAAGATGGTCTCCACGACTGGCCACGCAGGTCCAAGATGGTTTCAAGTCCGCTCAAGAAGCCACCAAGTCGGCCCAAGCTGGCTCCCAGATGGCCCAAGACGGCCCAAGAGGCCTCCAAGAGGCCTCCAAGACGGCCCAAGAAGCCTCCAGAGGGAATCCCAGAAGGCCCGAGGAGGCAAAAACCAATGATCGTAATTAGGTGTTTGAATGATTTTGGCAATTGCTTCTTCCGGCCTTCCGACGGCCCGAGACGGCCCAAGAGCCCCCCAAGATCGCCGTAAGATCGCCCAAGAAGCCTCCAAGATGGCTTCAGAAGGGCCCAAGGGGCCCCCAAGACGGGCCAAAAGGCCTAGACGCCGAAGATGGCCTGCAGGACGGCCCTGGAGCGCCCCAAGAAGGCCCCAAGTCGGTTCAGAGAGAACTGCAAGACGGCTTCCGACGGCGGCAGGCAGGTCAGGAACGCCCTACGACGGCCAAAGAGGCCACAAACAACCCCCATACGGCCCGCAAGAGGCCCAAGGAGGCCCCCAAGAGGCCTCCAAGAGGCCAATTTGGAAGCTCCCAGGAGACCCCAAGAGTGCCCAAAATGGCTTCCAAGAGGCGTCCTCCTCATTCTTCTCATCATTCCTCTCATTCTTCTCTTCATCCTTCCTCCTGCTCCCTTCCCCTTCTTCTCCGCATTCTCTTCTTCGCGACGTGTTCCCCGAAAGGTTTCAACGACGGCTGGTGGAACACATGGTCCGATGGCTATAGCCCCACTTTCGGCCACACGGGCGCTTCCACAAAGGCAGGGGGCGGCGGTGATTCGCCGTGGGCGGCTTCGACAATGTCAACATGCACTGCACAACAAACACACATCGCCCACGGATCGTGCATGCATGCGAGGCTGGCACGCGGCCCATAACTAGAAAGCGGATGCCAGCCCGTGCTGAGCCTTCGTGTTGGCTGATTGAAGTGTCGTACACGTGCGCTGAGGCCCGTCTTCCTTTCACCCACGCCTACAGCACAGGCCGAGCACCACGCGGGCGACTGGCGCTCCTTGGTGGCCACTACCCCCGCCGCTCCAGCGGCCGCCGCCGGCGCCAAGGCCGCGGGCAGGAACTCCCGGCAGTCCTTCCCGGCCTCGACCAAGGCCTGAGCGGGCCCCGCCGCTGCCGCAGTGGCCAGCCCAACGCCGCCTTGCCCGGGAAACGACACGGTTTTTGCGAGGCGTACCTCTTCCAGTGCACATCGCCACTGGGAGATGGAGCCACGGTAAGATACACACATGGGAGGCGAAGCAGAGGGCGGAGCGGAGGAAGCGCATTCCCGCAGCGAAGCACCACCGAAGTGAAAGGGAGCGAGGCCCCAACCGATCGCGGCGCGAGGCCTGCACGGACGCGACGCAGCAGGGCTCCGCCCAGCCTCTGAAAGGGGGGGCGCAGAAGGAAGC